TGTGTGTGTGTGTGTGTGTGTGTGTGTGTGTTTGTTTTTCCTTATGGTTAATTCATGTTGTTGGCAGACAAAGGTCATGGTTTAACCCAGCAGCATGTGACCTAATTAGCATCATTACAGATAAACACAACTCTACAATATTGCGTGGACATTGGGAGCAGTTCTCCTGGATGGGCAGACCGGGGTGGTGGTCCCCCTAATTAAAAAAGGGGACTGCAGAGTGTGTTCCAACAATAGGGGGATCACACTTCTGAGCCTCCCTAGTAAGGTCTATTCAGGGGTTCTGGAGAGGAGAGTCCGTCGGATAGTTGAATCTCAGATTCAGGAAGACCAGTGTGGTTTTTGTTCTGGTCATGGAAGACTGGACCAGCTCCACACCCTCCGCAGGGTCCTGGAGGGTGCATGGGAGTTCGCCCAACCAGTCTACATCTGTTTTGTGGGCTTAGAAAATGTGTTCGACTGGGTCCCTCGGGGACTCCTGTGGGGGGTACTACAGGAGTATGGAGTACCAATCCCTTTGATACGGGGTGTTAGGTCCCCATAAAACTGGTGTGCATTGCTGGTAGTAAGTCGGGTTCATTTCCAGTGAGACTTGGACTCCGCCAAGGTTGCCCTTTGTCACCAAATCTGTTCATAACTTTTTATGGACATAATTTCTAGGTGTAGCCAAGATGTTGAGGGGATGTGTTTTGGTGAACTTAGGATCACATCTCTGTTTTTTTACAGATGATGTGGCTTGGTCACCTGCTTAGGATGCCTCCTGGACGCCTCCCTGGTGAGGTGTTCTGGGCACGTCCCACTGGGAGGGAACCCAGAGAAAGACCCAGGACATGCTGGAGAGACTATGTTTCTCAGCTGTCCTGAGAACGCCTTAGAATTCTCCCAGAGGAGCTGGTCCAAGTGGCTGGGGAGAAAGAAGTCTGGGTCTCTCTGCTTAGACTGCTTCCTCCGCAACCCAACTCTGGATAAAAAAACAGATGGATGGACAGACAGATAAACACATATTCAACAGGACAAAACAAATTCATAGCAACAAGTCACAACCACTGTTTTCTCAGGGCATTGTACTCAAAAAACAAATACCCTCACCCCCCCCAAAAAAACTATAAATCTAAAGAAGCCAGCAGATTGCGCCAAATCTTTGCTTCGTCACAGTCTTCCATCCTCAGCATCACACCAGCAGCAGCAAAGAGGAATTACAGGAAGAAACCTCCAGCAGAATCAGCCTCAGGACAGGCGGACATCTGCCTCGACTGGCTAGGTTTGAGGACAGGAAAGAGACACAGGTAAACATAGAACTGGTCCAGGTGTGTTTTCCTCTGGAAGAGAAAAAAAGAAAATCATTATCGATAGAATAAAAACAAACTTGTAGACAAGAGTGACTAAAGATAAGAGCAGAGTGAGAAAATGTGGTCAGTTTGTCCTCCAGCAGTCTGAGTCTATAGCAGCATAACTAATTAACTATAATAACTAAGGAATAACTCAGGAAACCTAAGTCTAACTACAGGATTTATCAAAAAGGAAAGTCTTCAGTCTAATCTTAAAAGTAGACAGAGTGTCAGCCTCACGGACAGAAACTGGAAGTTGGTTCCACAAGAGAGGAGCTTGATAACTGAAAGCTCTGCCTCCCATTCTACTTTTAGAAACTCCAGGAACCACAAGTAAACCTGCAGTCTGACAGTGAAGTGCTCTGTTAGGAAAGGATGGAACAATAAGATGTTTAATATATGATGGAGCTTGGTTGTTAAGAGCTTTGTAAGTTAGAAGCAATATTTAAAAACAAACCAAGCAGTTCTAGAAGCACTCTCCTGGGTCATACAGGACAGACAGATGATGAGTTCGTCCCTACAAACCAGACAACCTGAGGTCACCTCAGCAAAGTAAAAAAAAAAAAAACAACAAGTTGTAAAAAAGTTTATCAGCTCTGCAGTTTGGCTTATTCAGCATATTTCAGGAGAAACACTCAAAGTCAAATGTTCCTACTTTTAATTTTCAGTTGTTGAAGTAACTTTTCTGATGAGACATTTTCTTGCAATTATTAATAATATTAATATTATTAGGTCTTTTGCCATTTTTTGCTACTCTTGCAGTGCCTACTTCCTTTTATTGCAGCCAGGTAAATGTTCATGACCTTCAGGAGAAGATGGCTATGACTTGTTTTTCTTGTATAACTTCTGTGTAAAAGATTATAGGTTTCAAATGTTTTAGCTGTTCAAATACTTTCATTCTTTCATAGGAAAAAAATTTGAGTTGTATTGTTACAATTATTTAAATGCTATTTCCCCTCATTGAACATTTTTAGTCTACATCATTCTATTGCAGGTTCATTAAAATCAAATTAAAATCACTGTATGGCAAACCTAAAATACTTCAGGGTGTGAATACTTCTGGTCACACTGTTTGGTTTCACAAATGAATCATAGAATCATGCTCAGTTGGGTTTTCCATGCTCACGCATTAGTTCCTGATGACAAGTTAGCATTGTGTGTTGTGTCTGCTAGTGTAAGAACGTCTGCAGAGTTTGAAGCATTTTTGTGGAAAATGTGCTCATGCCCTGCTATTCCCCATTTAATAATTTACCTGCAGTTCTTTGACTTGTTTGTGTAGTCCTTATCATGATCTGTTGAAAGGTGCAGCAGCCTGAACTGTTTGTTGTCCACAGAACAGATGCGTTTCACAAGAAAAACATCTGTCTTCACACATGAATGAAAACTGAGCACACACTATGTGCCCACACCTGGCTGCTGTTTTATAGCTCTGTTATCTAACAACACATGCTATGGAGAATTTTAATGTAGGGACAGAAATATTTTACTGTCACTTTTAAAAGGCTGTTTGTGAGCCATGTTGTGTAAAAAATCCAAAAGAGCAAATTCTCTGACATACTGCTTCCATCCAACCATCTGTCCATCCAGATGCCACTTTCAGAACTCCTCCACACATCCTTCAGTCTTGTCGTATCCCATGTTTTTTTATACCAAATCTGTTTCACTGTTTGGGTCGGGGGCAAGATGACGGAGGAGTAAGACGTGTGTGGCGTGGGCTCCCGCTCCGACTTGTTCTGTTTGTGGTTCTCTACTAAATGTCCTTGCTGTTTTGAGCATTTGGTCTGTCCGGACTCGACCCCTGAGTGGTTCTTGCCTGGAAGTGTAGAAGAATGGCAAAAAACTCTAGGAAAGGCAAACATTCTAGCTCTGCGGCTGTTAGGCCCGACGCTGCCTCGGAGCAGACTGCAGCTAAAGCCAGAGTTTCAGCATCTCCTTCTCCCTCTCACGGTGAGGTGGACGCACTCTCCTTGAAGTCTGACATTTTTGCCGCTATAAAAAACGATCTCTCAGCTGTGATCAAATCTGAAATAAARRYRGCTTTGGCTGAAGAGTTTACTCTTATTAAAGGAGAGCTACAAGCGGTGAGAGCGGAGGTGGCTAACGGCACAATGCTACTACGCGCTGACCTGGACCACCTTAAGCAGAGCGTA